CGGCGGCGGCTGCGGCAGGGAGCCCGAGCCCGAGCCCGAGCCCGAGCCGGCGCCCGTTGGAGGGCGTCAAGGTCCTCGAGCTGGCCAGGATCATCGCCGCCCCGGAGATCGGGGCGGTGCTGGCCAGCTACGGAGCCGACGTGATCAGGGTCAACGCTCCTCACCTGCCGGACATGAGCGTGCTGCAGGTCAGCTTGAACGCGGGGAAGCGGACGATAGCGCTGGATCTGAGGGAGGAAGGGGACAGACGCAAGATGGAAACCCTGCTGGGGGACGCGGACGTGTTTATTCAGGGGTTCAGGCCGGGAACGCTCAAGCGGTTCGGCCTCGGCGAGCATGATGTCTTGTCCGTCGCCGCCAAGAGGGGCAAAGGGATAGTCTACGTGGCCGAAAGCTGCTACGGCGCCGAGGGGCTGTACAGTTCCCGGCCTGGGTGGCAGCAGGTGGCCGATTGCGCTTCCGGGCTTGCGCACGTCATGGGGAGATCGTACGGGCTGGGGGACGGCGAGTGCGTTTTGCCTTCGTTGCCCATCAGCGACATGATGTGCGGGCTGGTCGGCGCCGTCGGGGTGATGATGGCGCTCAGGGATCGGGCGGTCAAGGGAGGCAGCTACGTGGTCAGACCCGCGCTGGTGAGAGGCAACATGTTTGCGCTGTCGGGGGAGGTTGGGCTGTACTCGCCCGAGGTGGTCAGGCACTGCCAGGAGAGGTTTGCTTGGAGCGAGATGCGAGCCCAACATCACGTTTTGGATTTGTTAAAGGCCGTCTGGGAGGGTTGGCAGCGTGACGAGCTGATGCGAGAAAGGTATTTGAGGGAAGGCAATCGGGAGTTTTGGCAGAGCTGGGAGAAGAGCGCGTTTGGTCCCGGCGGCGGCATGAGATTGAGCATCTTGAAGCCTGTGGTCAGGTTCCAGACTTTGAACTTAGATGGGCACCAGGAAATCGAGAAGGAGACAGCACCGGGGTGGACTTCGCCGAGCGTTCCGTACTGCTTTCACGACAAGGATGAAGTACACTTTGATTAGCAGAAAGGGGGGTGATCTCCCGAAGACAAAGATGGTTCTGCCGTAACGTCACGGTCACGGAATCAGTAAGAACGAACTTCCAGGAACATGATATATGCGACCTTGATACTAGATACTGTACAACGACTTGGTCGGCCCGTTTGTTGTTTCGATGCTTGATACGAAGCAACCACCTTACAAGGGAAGCATTTATACTGATATTTGTGAGCATAGGTACCTAATTTGTGGGCGAAGGAAGATGTTTGAAGAGGGGTCTGGTGAGGCCGCTTTCCCTCTCTTCCGGGAAGTTTTACAATATTTTTCTCAGAATTTTGGCTTCCGGGGACGGTGTCTGTATTTCATAGCTTATGATTGGTGAACTCGGGAAATCCAAGTCTTAGACACCTGAAAGCCCCAACACCCCCCCCCCCCTCCCCCGCAGAAATATGCAGAAGATGCTGGCTACCTTAGTTTGGTGGTTACATGACCAAAATTGCGGTGTGCAGCAAAAACCGGCTGTTACGTTTTGGGATTGTTGAGGGCACTTTCCGAAACGACAGTTGCAGTGCTGTGGCTGTGGTGCTTGATGTAGTAAGCCACTCCCTGCAGGCTGCAGCCCAACAGCTTCGCACGAGCCAACTGCAGTGCCCCGCATCACTGGACTCTGGGTTTGGCCTTCCTTTGTGACATTCATCTCTCAATTCAACACACTGTTGGATGCAAGAAAAGCTGAGGGAAAAAAAACTTGATTAAAAAAGGAAATGCCCGACGCACAGAATTGCAGGCTTGAGCAGTTGGAACTGTCTCTTCCGCCATCCGACATCCCGTGCAATGGCCCTGACGAAATCAAGAATGCGTACCGCTACTCTCGCTTGGCGCCCGGTGGTATTCGCCTCCTCCGTTTGGTGCCGCACAAAGACGAGAGCGCATCTGTACAATGCCAACTCTTCGACTACCCTCTTCGCGAGTCGGGCAATGAAACTCAGCTGTACGAAGCTCTGTCGTACGTATGGGGCAGCTCCGACAAGGATCACTCCATCTCAGTGGACGGGTGTCTCCTGCGCGTCACGGCAAACCTGCATGCAGCGCTGCTGCACCTCCGAAATCGCTTTCTGGAACGGATCATGTGGATAGATGCTGTCTGCATCAATCAGGATGACGATGAGGAACGGGGACAACAAGTTGGGTACATGGCAGAAATCTACAGCAGGGCGAGCCGGGTCGTCGTTTGGCTTGGAGAACCGGCCGCCGGCAGCGATGAAGCGCTTGAGGGGATACGCGTTGCTGCAATCGAGAAGTCTGCCCAGCCCTCGGGAGTCACGGAGCAGACCAAGCAAGCGATCCAGTCACTGCTTGAACGGGCGTGGTTTGGGCGCATTTGGGTAAGCACATAGCGTCCGTCAGCAATAATGATGCCGCCTTTTTTTTTTTTTTTCTAATGTTCAATCGGGGCAGGTCCTCCAAGAGGTAGCAGCGGCTCGAAATGTTTTGATCAAGTGTGGACACACAGAGATTGACGGGTTCGTTTTTTGCTCTGGGCTGCAATCGCTTCACGTGTGGTCGCAGAGTCGGGCCCGCCCCGTAACCTACCTCATAAAGGGAGCAATCTTTCGGCCGAGGAGAACGACTCCGGTGCCATCGGGCAGATTCACTCTCGGCATAGGCTCCCTAGGGGAGCTGATTGACATGTACCATGGCCACGAGGCTACCGAGTGGCACGACAGAGTGTTCGCTCTTCTTGGCATGGCTTCTGACGATCTTAGTGGCTCTGGCATACTACCTGACTACAAGGTCCCGTGGGCAGAACTCTTCCGACAACTCAACAAGTTCTTGTTGGGTGGGCAGGTATCTGTGAAGACATGGCCCAAAATGGACCTAGCCGTGGTCAGCGGCAAGGGCCGCATTCTTGGTTGGGTGTCCGTTATCGAAGATACCGGCGTCGGCAGTGGACCTCAGGTCGTCATCACGCAAACGGATTCGACTCCAAGATTGGGGCCCGAAATGAAATTAACTATTCCGCCATCTGCGAAACCTGCCCGCACTGGCGACCTCGTCTGTCTTTTGGAAGGTGCTTCAAGGCCCATGATCGTCAGGCCGTTCAAGGATTACTTTTCTGCCGTCCTCATTGCCCTTCCGAGGGATCATATCCCAATTATGCGGACGGACTGCTTGCGTGAATTTCTCATTGTCTGGGACTGGGAGAAGCCTTTTGGGAAGTCACGAGGCGGAGAAGAATACAGCGATTTGCTAAGTAGCTGGGCGCCTGAGCACTCGCGCGAAGAATTCAGGACACATTCGATGCATAAAATCACCAGGCTATGGAATGCAGCCTCGATATTGTACGACGCGAGACAGTATGAAGAGGCAGAAGAAAGACTTCGAGCAGTTGTAGAAGCCTCCGAGCGGGAGCATGGGAGTGAGCACCGGTGCACGCTGATGGCAAAGGACGAGCTCGCTCTGGCATACGTGTCGATGAAGCAATGGGAAAAGGCAGAGACGTTGTTCGAACAAGTGGTACAGACCAGAATGATGGTACAAGGGGCAGATTATCGAGAAACAATAAGCAGCATGGGAAACATGGCATCGAGATACCGAGACTGCGGCGATGCTCGCAAGGCAGAGAAGCTGGAGGTGATGATTGATATACTCGCACGACAAGGAGACTTTGTACAGACCACGGAGGCGGGAGTTGCCAAGCTTGCAAGGTCATTCGATGAGGAGCTAATGGAGTTTCTACTTGCCCGAAGAGAGAGCGAGGTCCAGATTACAGAAGGAGTGGTCACAGCAGCAGCAAGTAATAAGGGATGCGGATATCAGGTGATGAAGTTACTCCTGGACTAGAAAGGGGGCGAGGTCCAGATTACAGAAGGAGTGGTCACAGCAGCAGCAAGTAATAAGGGATGCGGATATCAGGTGATGAAGTTACTCCTGGACCGGAAAGGGGGCGAGGTCCAGATTACTGAAGGAGTGGCCAGAGCAGCAGCAAGCAATTGGGGATGCGGATACCAGGTGATGAAGCTACTACTGGACCGGAAAGGAAGCGAGGTCCAAATTACAGAAAGAGTAGTCATAGCAGGAGCAAGGAATAATAAGTACGGAAGGGAGGTGATAGAGCTTCTCCTAAACCGGAAAGAAAGCGAGGTCCAGGTTACAGAGGCAGCACTCATAGCAGCAACAAGCAATTGGGGATGCGGAGTTGGGGTGATGAAGCTGCTCCTTGACCGGGAACGGAGCGAGGTACAGATTACAGAAAGGGTATTCTTAGCAGCAGTGGCAGAGAATCAATTGCTCGTGAGCGAGGTATTGGAGCTCCTCCTGGACCAGGAAGGGAGCGAGGTCCACATTACAGAGGAGGTACTCACAGCAGCAGCAGCGGAGTACTCGATACTATGGGATAAAAGTGTGGCGGAACTTCTCCTAGAAATGAAGGAGGCGAAATCATTCGAATTACAGAGCCAGCGGTGACACAAATCGAATGATTGTTCAGCACCGGCAGATTAAAGTGTTTATCAGACCAGGAAATGAGCGGGATTCAAATTGCCAAAAAAAAAAAAAAAAAAAAGTTATATGACTAGGTACAATAGGGAATGGGTGCGCAGAAGGATGTCAGTCAGACCGCACCGAACACGGTAGAAGGGAAAGGGACAGGAACTAGAACTTCAGAAAGAAGTTGGCGCACTAGTCACTGCAATCCAAACTCCCACGATCAAACCTCAGCTTCTAGGGAGAGCCCTGGTTCATTCCCGGCGTCACAGTATACTATGGATAGGCTGATGGAGGTGATTGTGACGAGTCTGCGGAAAAGATTGTACCCTAAACTATCCAACGTGCAAATACTGCCTAGTCCAAGTCAGGTGCCCCGGGGCGGGAAAAGAGGGTAGAAAAAAAAAAAAAAAAAACAGTGTGAGTTGTCGTCCTACAATGCCATATCAATCCGTCCTGCAAATTCATTAAGGTAGTGATATCGAACTCTTGTTCACACAACGTGGTTTGTCAGCCCGCATGGCTCAGTGGTAGAGCGTGTCACTAGTAGCATCTTAAGATTATTCGCAGTTGCTTCTCTTTGCAATGACAAGGTCGTCAGTTCGATTCTGGCTGTGGGCATTCACTTTTGCTTGTATTCTTTTGCCATGAGATTGAACAGAACTTTTGAGACTGAGGGAGGAAGGAGGCTGTCTTCACATTTGGGAGTAGCTGCTTTCCTCATTCATATCACGCCACTGTTGCCTGAGAGCAAAGTTTAGGTAGGTCCATTTAAATTAATTACCATCCTGTTCCATGTTGCCAGGAGCGGATGTAAAGAGAAGGTTGAATAATACTGAATAACCCGGTCTGCCGTACTTGAGTTTGTTGGCTATGTTTTTTCTTGGAATTATTATAGAATAACAAGGCATGATGGCTAATGGGCTGCCAGGCTTGGTTTAATGTCTGCTATTGTGTCCTCAAGACCCAGATCACTGGATATCCTGACATAGATGTTGATATCAAGCTTCCAGAAGAGACAAGCGAGACAATCCCTGCTGACACAATGTTCATGGAACTGGGTTTTGAGCAACAAACAAAATGTGTAAATCGGAAATTCTTCTAGGGGACCAGAGTGAAAGGGGGCGCCGCAGTGCACCCGCCCGGTACTAGTTATCTGGTATCCTGCCGAGGTGAGATCTTTAAACTCGATGTCTGTTTAGGGCTCTTGAATGCAGCGCATCTTGCCGGTTGGAGATGGTGATGATGCGGTGATATTAGAAGAGACGGAAAGAATTGGAAGCGGCGCATGAAATAAGGTTGGCAGGGGTGGTTGTCGCTTTTGTATGTACTGTTCCCCAGTTTTGCATCGAGAATTGAATGAAAATGCGTCCCCTGCAGTGAAGAATGCGAGCCGTCAAACACCAAAAAAAAAAAAAACCTCTAAAAAACTGATATTAGATTCAGAAACATTGACACGTCGTCGATGCCGATTTCCACGACGCTGCAAATCCCGCTGGCAAAAAATATCCCCTGTTGGGTAACGGTTTCCTAGCGTTGATGACTGTTCTCAAAATAAAATCCCCGTTGCATTGCAGGCTGGTTGTCTGTGGGTTCCATGCTCTCTCCCCCACAAATTTAACGACGGGAACTTTTTGCGCTAAACAATTCACCGGGAACAGGGGAGCGGCCTAGTATAGTTGAAATGTCAGTGCCTGGATGCCTAACTAAGATTATTAGTGCTGACATGTTTTTTTTTTTTCGCTGGCGATGTGGTTTCGGGTCGAGGAAATATTTGCCGTCGGCATTTTCATGAACGCACTCGGCTCCTTCCATGAAGGGTTTCTGAGACGCGATGCGCGATTGTGCGCTGCAGGAGCGAGTCCTTCCCCCCCAGATTTAGTCGGTTTTTGTGTGTCCCAATTTGGCATCCACGACGTGGCTGAAATTGTTGTAACTTGTGGCTCATGTCTGGTTCCGGGCCCCAAAACCCAACAATATTTTTTTTCAAGAAAGAATAACTCACGCTACCCGCAAATTTCCAAGCCCATGGATGAACATCCTTACTGTCAGATCACCTCCGGTTTTTTCTTTTTTGAGGGCGGTGGTTTTTCCCTTGTTGAATCCCGGCGTGAGACGGTTTAGGCGAAGGCATCAAGATTCGACCCCCTGTCACCTTCGAGATGGGACCAATCAATGGCTCTCGACACAGGCAACACATCGTTGGGTCGCCGAGGTGGACTCTCCTGGGCTTCTGGGCGGAGCTGTCACCCACGTCGTGGCTGAGATGGGGTGCACCTTCGTTTGATTGGTTACAACTCACAACACATACAAGCACACACACCAGCTTGGAGATCTTGGCTGCATTTTTTTAGGAATCCTGCGCGGGACCTTTGCAGGGGGACGGCAACTTTCCCATCACTGCCACTGGCCCATCAAACGTATAATACCACTCCAACATTCTCCCTCCCGGTGGTCTTGATTTTTATTTTTATGCATTCATCCAACCGTCAATCACTTGATAAATAACGACTTTTCTTTCTTCCCCCCCCCCTATATCTTTTTTTTGACAGGCGGCGTTTAACCATCAAACTGATAAACTCAACATTCCACCAACGATTGTCGAGATCATAATAACCCCAACCCACGACGGCACATCTACGCATTTCAGTTTCTTGCAACGGTTAATTAATTAATCACCAGCAAAAATGACGGCACCATTCATCGTTGGCGATTCTTCGCCTTTTTTGAAGCGCGTTTTGATCCCGTTCTGGGTCGTCCGCATTCTTATCATGATCATTCAGATCGCCGTTTACGCCCTTCTCGTGGCCGGCCTCAGCATCTACGAGGACGATTCCCGACGACTCTTTGATGAATACCACACCAAGCTGTCCTACAGAACGGTTTTGGCTGTCTCGTGCGTCATCATGGCCGTCATCCTCTTGTGCCTGATTCTCGATCTCGTTTGCATCATCCAGCGCGCCAGACGCACCCTCAGCCCCAGCTTCTTCCTGGGCGTCAACGTCACCCAGTCCCTGTTCTACACCGTCAGCTTCATTCTCGGCATGATCAACGCCAGACCCAGCGCGGTCTATGCCGTTGTTCAGGTCTTGATCCTGTAAGCTCTTACCTACTTCCAGCCACCATGATTTCGGTGATCGTTGAGAGGCCTATTCAGTAACTAACATACTCTCTTTTTTTCTCCAACAGACTTTCCTTCCTCGGCCTCCTCATCTATTCTGCCATCGTTTTCCACCAATACCGAAAGGGCGCTTTGCGCGGCACCTATGCCCAGACCCACAACCCCGAGGGCCACAAGCTGGTGGAGAATGGCAACACCGGTTACCCTCCTCAGCCCACCCCTTACGGCCAAGAGTATTCTCAGGAGTACCCCAAGGCTACCTACTACGACGGCGCTGCTCCTCACCCTTACTCTGCCGAGACTTATGGTGCTCCTCAGCACCAGGGCTACGAGCCCAACCGAACCGCTGCCGTTTAAGTTTCAAGTACCCCATCATGAGTAGATGAGAGGGAAAGAAACAGGAATGCTGGACAAAACGTTCAACAACAGGAGTTGTCTTTTAGGATAGAGGTTTTTTTTTTTTTTTTGGTTTTTTTTTCGGATGGAAGGTTTTCTTTTATTTTTATTTTTATTTTTCGGTCGGTCTACAAAAACATTCGAGGTGTCTGGCGCAGGAATTGAACAATTTTTTTCGACATTGTTCAAGTCTGGAATAGAATACAATACCTATGTATATGATACCTGAAACTCTACTACGGAATCAAAGTAGGAGTGGGACAGGAATGAAAGAGTAATGATATTTATTTATTTTTTATTTTATTTTTCTTCTTCCAAACCATGCATTGATTCCGGTTGTTTGTTTTGGTTACTCCAGACTCATTGGTAGGTAGATGACTTTTTTTTTTTTTTTTTTTTTTTCTCCTCTTTTTTTCTCAACGGAAATCCTCAACCCGTTAGTTACACCTTCATGCGTTGGTCAGGTATTTATCTAAACAAAAAAAAAAAAAAAAAAAAAAAAACCTTTGATGCTCCTTGGCCACTATTATATAACCACTAGACGAGTATGCAATCCAGATTTTAAATTCTAATATTACTAACTAGACTACCAGCTATCCTAAATGGTCTTTAAAAATGCATATAATCCCGGGCCCCTCCTGAAAACGCCAAAAGTTTGTGTCGCCAAAAAAAATACAAAAAAAAAATCAAAAAAATCATCATAATTTCCCCAATTCATAATCATAACACTCATTAAAAAATTTCCTTTTCCTTTCCCAAACTCGTTCCCGTCCCGTCCCGTCCCGTCCCTTGAGCTTCCCCCCGCCAATTAAAACATCTCGCCACGATATCCATCAAAACTCAAACCCCCCCGACAACCGGCTGGGACTCCGACTCCCTCAGGCTCCTCGGCGGGCCGGCGGCGACCCCCATCCCCCCCTCGGCCTTGTTCTGCGGGGCGACGAACCCTTCGGCCTGGTTCGGCGCGCCTAGCCCCACGATCCCCCTCTTGTCGACGCCGTACCGCACCCGCACCCCCGCGAGCTCGTTGGGCAGATAGGTCTTTGCGGCGTCGGTCGACGCCAGCTCGCGGAGGTACGCCGTCTGGGTGGACTTTACGAGCTCGCCGGTCGAGGCGAGGCGCATGACGGGGATCCCCAGCTCCCTGTGGGCGGCGCTGTTCCAGACCGCCAGCGAGGCCGCGATGGCGATGACGAGCAGAGGGGGGATCAAGAGGAGGTAGGCGCGAGGGGTCGAGAGCTTTTTTGTGCGGTAGGTTGTGGTGATTATTATTGTTGCCGCTGGGGTCGAAGACGGTTCGTCGGAGCCCGGGACTGAGGGGGAAGAGGAAGAGGAAGAGGTAGATTGCGCTAGCGCGCCGATGGAGAGGTGGATGAATGATTCGAGGCCGGGAATCGTGTACGTGTTTTGGTCCGCGCTCACGCGGGGAAGAGTGGAGGTGAAGGGGAGCGGGAGGTGGGATGAGGAGGACGAGTTGAGGAACATTGGCTGCGCGCCGTCGATCGAGGAGCCGGAAAGCAAAGGGGAGACGGTGAACCAGAGGAGGAGGTCGTTGAGGGACGAGTTGGTCGTCGGGAGGGCGAGGGTCGAAATGGAGGACAGGGTGGGGAGGAGGCTGGACTCGGAGCCTGTCGCGGCGGAAGCGTTGCCGATGTTGAGGACCGAGTCGAGCGCCGAGATCTTGATATCGCATGCCACCGCGGAGACGCTGGTGAGGTTGCGGAACTGAAGGGGGGTGGATTTGCCACCCTCGATCGTTCCGTTGATCGCTGCAAAGATGAGAGTCGTTCGCGTGGTCGTCGGGGATACAAAGTCGAAATCGTTGGCCCAGAGGGTGAGCTGGGGCTGCGGGCGGAACCAGACTTCGGAACCGCTCACCTTGTCACCGGGAGAATCGGAATTGGTGCGTGACATGTTGGTTTTGAACCCGTTCCAGAACCGGTTGTCTCTGGTGAATTGCTGGATATCGTAGGGGGTACACGAGACGGAAGTTTCCAGCTTCACGGCGTGGGCTGAGAAATTTCCTCGTTGGCTTAGAGTCTGCCTGTTGATATACCAGTCCCGGTACATGGAAAGTGGCTCTGAAGCTGGATCGGTCGCCCAC